ATATATATATATATATATATATATATATATATATATATATTAGGTTATAACAGTTTCTAGTTTTCAGATTCCACAAATGAATGACACAAACAAACTATGGTAAAAATTTAGATTCATATAATATTATTTGATATTAAAACCTTCTAAATAAGACCACAAAATTTTTTTGTAAAAGTATGTTCTACAAAAGTGAACTCCTCATATAAGATAATCTGATTTGGATTTGGATTGAATGACTCTAAGGAATGATCCATATGCTATAAATTTTTTAGTTACAACCAAATGAATTTCTATAACAAAAATTTAAATGCATAAAAATTTTAAGATAATTTTTTGAATAATTCCTGAATAATTTGATGTATGTATTTATTTATTTTCTTCATGTTATTTATTGTTTTCATTTTCACCAAAACATGATGATGGAGCCATTCATGCATTATTTATTGACATTTGAGCTTTTAAATACTTGTCATTCATCGCATCTCGATCGACAACAGACATTAGATTCAACGACACATGTGCGCATTGGATTCCTATTCCATACCTTCCTTTGTCGACAAATGATTCTGATTCTCCTCGTGTGATGCGAATAGGCCTTCTCAGTGCCTTTTCCGCCGTCGAGCGAACGCGGCGATCACATTTGGATTCCATTCTTCCCCTCTGTTCCCAACTCAACATGCCGGCCGACGTTAAAATTCCGAGGAGCTGTTGCTGATACAGCAAAACCACGCGTCTTGGCGGTTGTGTGTACACTCAACGCTACACGCTACTTTTGTGTAAAATAAGCTTACGAAGAGTTGCCGTCTTCGATCTCTCTTTCTCTCTCTCTCTCTCTCTTAATTGTGAGAGAAACTTCCGGAGAGTTGCTACGAACATACATGCACGTATATATATATATATATAGAGCAGAGGGATGAGGAGATGGCATAGCAGTGCAGCGAAGAGAGAGGGAGGAGGAAGACAGAGCAGTGAAGATGAGCCACACATGTCACTGGGCTGCTGCTGGTTCCCATAATGTAAGTGAAACGAGGGTTCTTCTTTTGTTTCAGGTTTCAAGCATAGTGAATAAGTTGACCGCCATACTATTTGGTGTTGTTAATCTAAATGCTGTTCGTGCTTCATGTTGTTGTTGGGTGAGGCATCCACTTGTTGGCCGCTTAGAATTCCCCCTAAACAGTCAACTTAGTGTTTGATACGATTAAACGCACAAAATTACCAATCTTATTTGTTCGTATCACATGGAGGAATTGTTTTCAGGGTGGAGGATTGGTTAAAGCAGGCAAGAAGGGCACGATTCACGTCTCAGCAAAAGCCATGAACATAACTTGGGCCAACGATGCGAGATTCTGGAAGTGGATTCCGCTTTCCAAGAATGAGCTACCCAAAGCCTTCTCCAAAGATGACATGAGGTAGCATTTTTTTTGTTTTTGTTCTGTCACTCTTAACACCATGCATGCTATCAACTCATCCGATGAGCTCATCATACATAGTCTTATCAAAAAGGCCACAAACTACGAAATGCTCTCGTGAGAGAGATAGATAGATAATAAATCTTATTCCATGATGCTTACTGACCTGTGTTGGTTCATCTTGTTGGATGCCATAGCTTTGACGCTGCTGCAGAGCTGATTCAGGTGAATTGGCTCGAAGCAAGAGGGAGTCTGGACTCGGCAGTGCACAAGCAGCCTCGACTCAGTGGGTCCGGACGCTATGAGATCATCTACCACCTCAGGTTTAAGGTCGATGCCTTTGGGTGGAGCAATGCCCCCGTCATCTTTGAACTCATCACCCCAGACGGGCACAGGCAGCAGAAAAGTGTGATGTTGGAGCCATACAGGAGGAGAAGCAACGAGTGGCAAGAGATCCATGGTGGAGAACTCAAAATGACGGGAAAGGTTGAGTTCGCCATGTTTCAAGTCGAGAGCCATGGCTGGAAGGGTGGCATCATCTTTGGAGGTGTCTCTTTAAGGCCTAGATAAGGAAGACCAGTTCTGGTTAGAAGAGATCTGGAAAGTATCCATCTGCTACCAACTAACGTATTATTGTGTTTGTTTGTCACTCTTCTTGCTGTGTGCTCCGCTCCGCTCCTTTATGCAGTCATCCATCATTCATAGTTTGCTTCATACTAAGTTACATTTGGTTGGTGCTGTTGACACCTTATAGGATGGATGAATGCGTTGCGGTTGAATAAAGAGAGAGAGAGAGAGAGAGAGAGAGAGAGAGAGAGAGATGTCTTTGACTAATAATGCAG